TTTCCCTCCCGGCTCAGAGCACAGTCCTACCTCTGAAAGCATGCGTGCTGCCATCGTGCCAGGGACCAAACCACTTTGCTGCCTTAAACCACCACAGTGGCCTCTTACCAAGAGCTGGATCATGCCTTGGCAGGTGGGAAGGGACCTGTCCCCTCTGCACAGGGAGTACCCTGAAGTCCAGGGACCAGTGATTGGACCATGTCTTCCTTGATCTCAGGTTCAGGTTTTATTCACTTTGTGATTGACACAATCCAGGAGAGAAATAGTTAATTATTTTTAAGCTCTAATTTTTGCAATCTACCCATTCCTCTGAGCACGAGAGCCAGCCATCACCCTTATCCTGCATCTCACTGTCCCCTCGGTGGGACCAAGGACCAGCAGCCTTAGGGGACACTTGACTCTGGGCCCCCTTGGACAGGAGTCACAAAGCTGTCAGGGCATTAACTCGGGCTCTGAACAGCAACACTGCAAATGACAGAGAGGCAGGGTGAAAAATAAAATGGGGTGATTTTTAAAAAACAGCTGTGGGTTCTGCTTTTGGCTGGTCTTTGGGTGTCTGCTTCCCTGGGCAGGGCTGGTACGTGGGTCTCATGCCTGCCTTAGGGAAAGGTGTGGGCTCTGTGTCTGGCCAGGCACCAGGGTGAAGGTCAGCACAGGGGCCAGGAGAAGGAGGAAGAGCTGCAAAGCTCTGCAAGGGCTGGCATGAGCCCTGAGACCCTTGGGCATCCCATACAACTTCCCCTGAAGGGCTCTTGGGGCTGTGAACAGTCCTGAGGCAAGTGATGAAGGGAGGTGACAGTGCTGTGCTCATGGTGACTCTTGTCCCATTGGGAGGAGTGGGAGGATGACACTGGGTGACCCTTTGTATAGCCATGGGGTGCTGTTTGTCTTGGCCTGGCAGGTTTGCACGATGGTAACCTGGGTCTGCCGCAGGGGCTCTCCCACTTCCAAGAAAGAGCAGCTTGGGTTTGCTGTAGCCTGTTTTCAGAGGAAGGAGCCCCAGTACTTAGCCCAAGTCCCTGCTCACAACCAGCTGTGTCTGGACTCTGCTGGATGATGAACATCCTTCAGTGGGACAAGTGTGTTTCTAACCATCCACATGATATGGCTGCTCACAGAGTCCCATAGCCCAGTGGTTGGTCCACAGTCGGGTAAGTGAGCAGCAGCATCCCTGCATCAGCCATGTTCCATGCGTGAGTGGAGACTCAGGGTCTGCAGCCAAAGGGCTTCCTGGCATTGACCCCTCTGCTGCTACAGAGAGAGTAGCCAAACCCAAAACATACTCCTTGAAGGGCCAAGCTGTATCCACAGCAGGTTTGCTTCTGCCCAAGCTACAACAGGCAGAGGATAACGTCTCTGACCACATGTAGGTACAGCGAGAAAGCTCCTTGAGAGCTCTGAGATAAGAGGTCAGCGGAAAGTGGGAAAACATGTTCAAACTGGTGTATAATTCCCTGGGCATTATTAGATCTCTTGTAAATGTGCAGTTAAAAGAATAGATAAGTACAGGAAACAAAACAGATGTCACTCCTGTTGAGAGTGGGAAGAAGCCACAAGGAGACATCTCTGCTCTATCCTTTTCTTAAGCTCCTTGACTCAAGCTGCTCTTGCCCTACACCCAAAACTGCTTTGAGCACTTTCAGGAGGGTACCTGTAGCAGCCTGGGCTATATTTGGGTCCAAGGTGCCTCTGGCACACTCAGGAGCATGGTGATGCTTGTAACATGCCATGCCACAGCGCCCTAAAGCTGCTTTTTTCCTGTGTGTCGCAGCCACGCTCTTGCTGTTCATCCTCCCTGTGTTTGCAGTCTGGGGGGGTCCCAGCAGGGCAGGGGGCTCTGCGGCCAGCAATGCCACAGTCACCTGAAGGAAAATTCGGGACCACTGTGAGACTGCCCCAGCAGTTTTGTAATTGCTTTTTTCCTGTCCCCAGCCATGCTGGAAGGGTGATGGAGCAGAGGAACCCCCTGAAGAGCTAGTGCCAGCTCCCCCCTGCCCTGGGGAACGGGATGTGGTGCAGCTCTTTGGTTTTGACCAGAGGAAGAGGGTTGCTCCTGGCTTGGAAGATTGGCAAGTTGGCTGGCATCGTCCTCAAACCAGACCTCACCCCTGAGCTTATAGCAGTGGATTCCCTCTTCAGATCAATACGGATTTATGCCAGCTGACAGTTTAGCTCAGTGGGGTTTCTCCCCCAGAAGATTCAAGACATCTCAACAGTTCACGTTTCTCTGGTGTTGGGAGATGGTAGCTGCAGCCGTTGCCTGCCTCCACTCCCCAAAAGGACAGTAACTCTCCAGCCTGCCTTGGTCTCGCCGGGGAGCAGAGGGGTCACAGCCAGGCTACAGCCAGCTAGTCCCCGTGCTGCCAAGGGTGGCCCTGGCCAGCCCGGCCTCCATTTCCCATTGCCAGGAGTCAGAGCAGGACTCATCCCTGTTTGGGAAGAGCTGCAAATGTTAATTGCTCTCCAGCGATGAGTCACACCTGATCTGGGCTTGTCCTGTGCTCTGGTGCACTGGGTGCATTTGCTGCCTCTCCCTGCTGTTTCTCTAATTTCAGGGCTAGCTGAGAACAGGAATAATGCTCCTTTAATAACTGTGCATGGCTGAAATGTCAGTGCTCCAGCATGTTTACAACCTCCCTTCAAATGATAACCAGACCAAAGACATCACGTTGGGCTGCAGCAGAGCCTGGGGAGGGGCTGGGGAGGCAGCAGCAGCCGCAGCAGGCAGGCTTGGCTCACTGCTCCTGGACCAAAGGAGAGAGGAGCAAGCAGGTGTATGTGCAGTGGGTTAACTCCTGCTGGTCCACGCCAGCAGCAGGTGGGTGAGCTGATCCAGCGGGGTTAGGTGTTCCCCAAGTACTGCCCTGATTGAAAAATACCAGGGTAGCAGTTAAGCTGATAAGTAAATTATTTTTTTTCCCCCCTGGCTTTTCCTAACATGTTATCTGTGCATCTGATAAACCTCGTCATGCCAGTCTGGCATGGAGGCTGCCTGATGGGCTGGGAGTGGTGGTGTAGAAACCCTCTGCCATTGCCCCAGAAACACAGGCCATCTCCCCCGAGCCGTGAATTCACCCTGAGTGC